GAAAGAAAGAAAGAAAGAAAGAAAGAAAGAAAGAAAGAAAGAAAGAAAGAAAGTTTCTCTGAGACAGAGGTGATTTTTTTTTTGGACTTGTTGGAGAAAGGTTGGCATATCCAAACAAGTGGAAGTAGCAAAAGTTACTCCTTGACACAGTGGAGTCTGGGATAATCATATCACCACGAGGTCAGGGCAAAGCTGGCTGGGTGATTACGGCTGGCTGTGGCTTTCACAGTTAAAATTATAAACGTGGTCTAAGCTCTGCAAGGGGACACACAACATGTACGGTTAAATGGAGAGAGGAATGCTCCAAGGTACTGGTATCTTAAATGCTTCTCCTCTGTCACAGAGGAACAAAAAAAAAGAAGATATATTTTCCAAACTGCTCATTTATACAAAGAGATACTTTCTATGAATAAGTATACAAGCACACTTCTATACTTTCTCTGTAATTTGGGTGAAGAAGAAGAAAAAGAAGGGTGTATTTTTAATTATTTCTTTGGAGAATGTTAATACAATAAGATCATTATTTTTCAAAAAAAAAAACCCACATACATTCTTAGATAAACCTCTTCTAATGGTTCATCTAAACATCACATATACTTGTAAAATGGACATAAAATCAATTAGGGAAACAATAATGGTAATTATTTTCTTAGCTATGTCTTTTCAAGATATGCTTGGACACAATGATGTGAGACTATCTGCACAGAACTGTCTTTTTTTCTTTTTTTTTTTCTGCTAATTGTAGCTTTGCAGAACCAGGACAGTGACTTTGTTGATGGTTTTTTTTCCCCTTTTCTTAAAAAAAAAATGCTGGGCAGAAGCCAGAACTCTCTCTTTGCAGAACGACAGTGACAAATGGGAGCCCTCTCTGCTGAATGACAGTCGTATACATAATCTCTAACTCTTCCCAATACATTAGTGAGTGATTGCCCTCGTTTACCATAATCCATCCTTCCCAAGCAATGATCCTTAAGGTATAATCTTAAATAAGAAAACTTAACCACTTCCCCAGTCCTAAAAGAAGATAATAAAAGATCCATAGTGTTTCTTCCTGTAGGCAAACAACAACAAAGCAGCTTTTGTATAAATACCTGAATGGCAATGACTAATGATGACAGACCTAGCTGAAGACCAGTAATACAGTCACACAAGTATTTTCTCTGGAAATAAAATCAGTTGACGAAGACCTGACTCCACTATTCTTTACAGTATTTGATCACCATTCACCTTTGCAAATACAACCGTTCAAAGGCCACAAATTTTAGCTGAGAAAATAGTGATAATAATTACAAAAAAAAGGAAAAAAAAAAGAAAAAAAGGTAGAAAAGGAAAGGAGAACACTGAAAAAAAAAGTCTTAACTTTCTATCAGATGATAAAAGTATAATATTGCATTAGTATGGAAGGAGGATTCACTTTAAAAATCTGATCAATTGGTTGGTTTCAAACTTGTTTTCCGAACCAGAAAATGAGATATTATTAATCTGAAACAGATATTCTCAAAATTTATTCATGAGGAATGTCACCAAAGTATGACTATTTCCCTAACATTAAACTTAAACTGATATATCGAGGTACAGTAGAGCTAGGGCAACTGAGGTGTACATTTCAGCACCTAAAATGTGACAGCTGGTATACGGTAAAAACATGAGGCATTTTATATTTTTTTGCAGGTAATAACGTGCCAAGCTTTAAACTAGTGAGATTATAGAATGGAAAATCTAAAATGCTTTATTTTTAAAATACTTCCAGACATCTGACTACACTTTTTCTCTGCTCTTAAGCACCCAGACAACCTATGCAGCTGTGGTACAAGCGCTGCCAGACCCACAGCAGTACTGCACGGTTTACCCGTCTGCAGTACCAGTGTCTGCAGGGGTGGTATGCAGGACATGACAAATACCTGTGCTGCAAAGGTAGGGCTTTTCCCCCGCCAGACCAGCCAGCTATTTAGGATTGACAAGTTAGGACCAATTTCACTGATGGATAAGGTGACACACATTTTAGACTTCAGTAATTCTTTTCTAATTATTAGTTGGAGATGAGAGGGAATAAAGTGCCTGTCTTTAATATGCACTGTCCAATACTTTGAGAACATTTTCATTAAATATCTACTCAACTCAAGCAGAAATATATTCCATCATGTATCAGCGTTTTGATTATTTATGTTAATGTTAAATTCCTAGTTCTCAATAGTGACCTTAAGATCCATGTTCTGCTTTTTCAGAGCTTCCACGGTGTAGGAAATTTCCTTCCATGATTCAAGCTTAGCTTTTGCTTGTTCAAGAACTTGCTCAGCTTCTTGTTTAGCATCTAGCCACTGTGTTGAGTCCTTTAACATATCATGGAGCTGCTCTCTTCGGCTATGGAGGTGTCCGTGCACTTCATCCCATTGGCTCTGTATTTTTTCAACTGGTGAAAGACAAAGGCAAAAAAAAAAAAAGCTGAGTCATGCAAACAGTATTTTTTTTTTTTTAAGGAGCAGTTATTATGTTTAAATACTTCTAGAACTGACCTGACCGGAGAGCTCTTGTACTTTTCAGTTGTAATTGCAACCAAGTTTGGTTTAATAAAGCTGAACAAATAACCTGTTCTGGGGCACGCAGCATGACACTGTGGGACACAGCTTGTCTCTTGATGCACATGCAGCCTGAAATGTCAGGTTCGTGCCTCAGAAAGCATCATGAAACAGAACCACATTTTAGAAAAAGCGGCAGCACTCATCTTTTATCCTTACCAAAACAACCCCAGGTTTAATGCTTTAGAAGGAGACTTCTTCAGGGACTTATGTAATTTTACTTTAAGATTTACTGCAAGATATAATTAATAGTTATGCTTTCTTAATTTGTTAAGGCAAATATTAGCCGACTGCAAAGGCTTTCTAAAAACCCTTCTCATATGCTCATGTTAATTATAGAACAAGGATTAGGTCTACTACCATTTTAAACAAATGTGGTACCAAGGAACCTAATAATCATTAGAATTACTAATAACAAGTGCTGGCTAGCATCCAGCATCAGACTGGTACATAATAGCCTAACTAAATTTGCTAAGTAAAGCATCAAGAGACTTAGTCTTCCAACCACACAATGTTTGACAAAAGAAAAAAGGAAAAACAAACAATAAAAAACATTTAGTGCATTAGGAAATCAGCATTTTTTTTCTTAAATTCCCTGAGTTTAGGCAACCCAAACAACATTCACAATACTCTTTTCAAAGACTGCCCGACTACATTAAAATTTGACAGGCCTTCCCGGGAGGGGAACAAAGACTCCTAGAGCACTTGGAAGCAGGCAGGGTTCTCCATGAGAGAGGAAGCTGCAGCACGGCATCTCCCATGGCACAGCTGACTCCGGAAAGGTGTGGGCTAAAGACTAGAGGCATGTGAAACGCTCCAGCATGGAAAGCAGACAGGTATTTATCTGTCTTCTTCCTTCTTCTGGAGAGCTAAAGATCTTTCCATGGGTTCAGTGGAGTGCAAGAAGCAGAAAGAAAAAACAACCAAATCTGTGATCAGAACAGAGCGAGGAAAGCCTAAGGCCCAAATACCTAAACACGATCTGAAGCAAATCTAACCTTCAGAGAGCTGCACTTGAAGGTCACGTAACAACAACTCATTTCTACGCATATCTGGCTGAGGATTTCTGCTGTTGGGTTGTTATTGGAACAATGAAGACATTGTGCTCTACAGGAAGGGCAAATAAGGGAGGTATCCCAAGCAGCTCAAGTAAAATCTCTGTGCTGCATCCGGATCCTGTGGTCAAAGGCTTGGATTGAGGGGTTAGGGGGATTGTGCTTTTCCACCAAGACTGAGTTTTCCATCATACACCACGGCCTTGTGATTCCATGATGACTCCACAGTCCGGAGGGGAATTGGGTTGCACCATGAAGGATTGATTCAGGACCTCTCAGGAGCACATTTGCATAGGTGACTGTGAACAGAGAACCTCAAAGCTATTAAAAGCCTTCAACAGCATTTACTCACGAAAATGCATAGGTATTTGACCTAATTGCCTGGATTACCTGCCTCAGAAAGAAAAACGTTAGTATCTGATATGGACTTTTAAAAGATTTGAAATAGACAGAGCTCAAGAAGTTACTCGGTAGTCCAAACATACAAATTAGACCTTTGTTAAATGCATTAGGTCACTCACAAGTTCAAGGAAACAAAATACTGCAGTTCAGGACAAACACATCACAGCACCTGGCCCTTCTGAGCTTGGTTATACCCATCAGCAGCAGAAGACTATTTGTAAAGTGCTGCTTTTGTGCAAGGGCACTGGAACATATAAAAGGCTTTCTCCCACTAGAATAGGTCTACTGAAAAGAAAATCCTTGGAGTGTTTTGTAGGAAAGCAATGATGAACCTCAATAAAAAGGTCTGTCAGGCAACGATAGCCTTGGAAGGGTCATTTCTGCTGTTGGGATTTTTTAAAAATCTGAAGGCTACAATGTACATATGGGATTCAGCAGAGGGAAAAATCAGTTTGTTCCTGAGACCAGTGACCCATATCTGGGACCATTGAGACAACCCCAGAAATAAGAAGTAGAATTCGCAACACAAGAAAACTAAAATAATCAATGGCATTATTTCCAGAAAAGGATTTGGCTGAGTTTTTAGATATATGAGAAAGAAAATGATTCCTATCTTTAATTAAAGACTTTCAGTAAAGTAATATTCAGCAAGTAAATAAAAAACAAAAAAAGCAAAAAACTTTCTCCACTGACAAAAGTCTATCTCAAAAAGTACAAAATATTTCCAAAGTCTAAATATGAACATTCAACATGACAAAAAATAAGTTTTACCCAGAAGTAATGCAATTTTCCTTACTGCATGCTGGATTTACAACAGTATCTTACTCTTTATCTTCTATACACCTACATAGAGTTATGATTGCACATTAAAAACATACACATAGATAGGACAACTGTGACTCCATGTGTGCTATAGGAATCACTGAAGTACGGGATTTAAACTAATTAACTGTTATAACTAAAGCCTTTCCCCCATACCCAATTTAGTATCCTGAAGGGGAAAAGCAGAAGGATCCCACTGCAGCTAGGGCTACATCACATGACTTCTGTGTTTAAAAGTTTAATTTCTTTTTAATGTGCTAGTCCCACTTTGTATCCAATTTCTTCCTTCTTTTCATTTGGCAACTGGACAATATCTTTACTCCAAAGGATCAGATTTGATCAGACAATTTGGAAAAGAAATCCTACACTTTCTTTACAACCTCCAAAAAAAGAAAAAAAGAATAATTTTAAATGATTTTATCAATATATGTGGCCATTAGCTAGAATTTTATTGGAGTAGATAAACACAAAGAATATTTGACAATTAACAAATATCAGAAAAACAAAATACAACAAGTAAATATATGCACTGCTTTTTAAAATCATTACAAACGTTAGAATGTCTGTTAGTGTATTACAGTTACAAATTACTTGTATAGCTATTTTTATAGCACCAGCAGAACAAACCTCCTGGAATGAACACGCAGAAGCAGTCTCAGTATGTTAGGGATTGCTACGGACCAGACAACACCGTTTCTAGCAACATGTCCCAGGTACCATTTACCCAGATTAAAGCGTGTAGGACTGTTTTTTTCACTTCAAATTATTCCCAAACCATCCACTTCGCAATGCTAGCGCTGGAGCCCTATTTCACTGCACTGGCTCCGGGGGCCGTGTCCCAGCAGGGCTCCGGCTGCACTCCCGCCTCACAGCCCGCTCCAACGAATGACGCGGCCACATCCACCAGGATGCAATTTTGAGGTTTTTATTCAATTTCTGCTTCCATCAGTACTGTTCACAAGCTGTTCGATAGTGATTATATCACTAAGATGGGCAAAAGAAATTCTGCTGAACTCTCTGTGGTTTGAGTAAGTTATTGGAAATAATAACAAAGAAGGAAACTGCATTTAAAAGAATCAAACACAAGGTAACTATTTTGCAGCCTGGTTATCATCAATTTAGCATACTGAGGAAGAACAATCTTGGGGAAGGAGATTGCAGGCTTAAGATCCATCTCTGCTTATTAAAAACCTTTGTTTACTGTTTTTCATCAGTAATGAAAGTTATACGGTTTTCTGTTTTTTTTTTTTTTTCCATAAGCTAGGGATAGCAGAGAAACAAAAAACGAAAACAAATCTCATTTTCTTTGTTAAAGTTCTCTTCAGTGATAAACAAAAGGTAAATCTTTTTCCTGAGAGTTTAATCTCTTCTTTTTCTGATATAACGGCAGTGGAAACAATAGAAAAGGAATCTGAGAAGTTGTTGTCAGTCACAAGAGCAATAACATTTGCTTGAGTATAAATTACATTTAGCCTATGCAATAAATAAAATATTAAGTTTAAGTATATTGAATCCAGAATATACTTCAAAAAAGTATATTCTGGACAACAGTTCTTAAGAGTAGAAAGAGTAATTTTGATATTATCCATCACCTGACTGAATTCAAAACTACCACCACCTAAGTTCTTTAGGGGTATTTTAGCCTACTTTTCAGCACAGTTCAGAATTACAGTTACACCTGGCACAGCTAAATTAACTGAAGAGCAGCAGAATTTTCAAAATAAAAAACCATCACTTTTCTTGTCCAACAAATTCTCCTAAAATGCCCTTATTTTGCTCTGTAGGAGAGTGCTTCTCAAAAGCGTTATTGTCAATATATTGACATTTTCCTACAAAAATAATCTTTTCTCCGTAGGTTCATAGATTTGAAAACTAGAGAGACTAACGCAATTATGCAATTTGACCTCCTGCAGAATATAACCATGGAACAGTAGAATTATGGCCAGTTACATATCATATTGTCAAAAGAAGCTACTAATGCACTGATGTTCCTTAGCTGAAAAATTAAAACACGTTGAAATGCATCCTCGCATCTTTGAGCGTTTCAATTTACTTATTCCTTGCAACAATGATCATGATGAAAAGACACAGCCTGAAATCTAGTCAAGTCTGAAAAATGATTTATGAATATTTTCTTATTTGCACTATAACTCACCGCATCTTAAGTCGTTCCCCCCTCCCCCGGCTTTGCAGCAGTACAAAAACAAACAAACAAAGAAAAGAAAAATGAATAACTGAGATCTCAGTTCTTTGGGGTACTGAGCAGCCTTCAAACACAGCAGTTCTTGGAACTGCTCAGGACGTTAGAGGATGTCGCTATCACTGGAAAGTAAAAGGAAAACAGGTGGGAAAAAAAAAGATCCCTTTTAGTCTCTGACAATTCTAAGAACTTTATACATTAATGTTAATTATTACAGGCTAAAAACTGGATCTGTGTGCCCCTGCAACAACCACTGCGTGCCTGGTGGGCACAGCCGCTCCCTGTGGGGACGCGCAGGCGGCGCAGCATGGCGTGCCTCAGGAGGTGACATGAGGCGACGCGCCATGGCGTGCCT